AAAATCAAGTGTTCATAGGTGTGTGGGTTAAAATCAGAGCTTTCGATTCGGTTCCATTGGTCTACCTGCCTATTTTTGTGCCAATACCAAGCTGTTTTCAGGATTATAGCTCTATAATAGAGCTTGAAGTCAGGTATGGTGATGCCTCCTGAAGTTCCTTTATTGTATAGGGATGTTTTAGCCATCCTGGGCCTTTTGTTTTTCCATATAATGTTGATTAATGTTCTTTCCAGTTCCTTGAAGAATTGTGATGGAATTTTGATAGGGATTACATTGAATCTGTAGACTGCTTTTGGCAAGATTGCCATTTTTATTATGTTGATCCTACCAATCCAAGAGCATGGGAGATCTTTCCATTTTCTGGTATCTTCTTTGATTTCTTTCTTTAAAGACACAAAGTTCTTGATAAACAGGTCTTTAATTTCCTTGGTTAACATTATCCCCAGATATTTGATGCTGTTTTTGGCTATTGTAAATGGTGATGTTTCTCTGATTTCTTTCTCAGTCACTTCATCATCTGTATATAATAGGGCCACTGATATTTTTTTATGAGACAGGGTTTCTTTGTACTGGTTTGGAGGCTGTCGGTCCAGCCTGGCCTCGAACTCACAGAGATCCGCCTGCCTATGCCTCCTGAGTGCTGGAATTAAAGGTATGCACCACCACTGCCCGGTGGGCCACTGATTTTTTTGAGTTTACCTTGTATCCTGCCACATTGCTGAAGGTGTTTATCAGCTCTAGGAGTAACCTTGCAGAGTTTTTTGGGTCACATATGTAAACTATCATATCATCTGCAAATAGTGAAAGTTTGACTTCTTCTTTTCCTATTTGTATCCCCTTTATCTCCTTTTGTTGTCTTATTTCTGTAGCTAGAACTTCAAGTACAATATTGAAGAGATATGGAGAGAGTGGACAGCCTTGTCTTGTTCCTGATTTTAGAGGAATTGCTTTGAGTTTCTCTCCATTTAGTTTGATGTTAGCTGTTGGTTTACTGTATATTGCTTTTATTATGTTCAGGTACGTTCCTGTTATCCCTGATCTCTCTAGGACCTTTATATAGAAGGGGTGCTGGATTTTGTCAAAGGCTTTTTCAGCATCTAGTGAGATGATCATGTGGTTTTTCTTTCGCAGATTGTTAATATGGTGGATTACATTGATAGATTTTCTAATGTTGAACCATCCCTGCATTCCTGGGATGAAGCCTACTTGATCATGGTGGATGATTTTTCTGATGTGTTCTTGAATCCGGTTTGTGAGTATTTTATTGAGTATTTTTGCATCAATGTTCATGAGGGAAATTGGTCTGTAGTTCTCTTTCTTAGTTGTGTCTTTGTGTGGCTTGGGTATCAAGGTAATTGTAGCCTCATAGAAAGAGTTTGACAGTGAGCCTCCTGCTTCTATTGTGTGGAATACTTTGAGAAGTATTGGAATTAGCTCTTCTTTGAATTTCTGGTAGAATTCTGCACTGAAGCCATCTGGGCCTGCACTTTTTTTTGATTGGGAGACTTTTGATGACTGCTTCTATTTCATTAGGGGTTATAGGTCTGTTTAGATTGTTTACCTGTTCTTGATTTAGTTTTGGCAAGTGATATCTATCCAGGAAATTGTCCATTTCCTTTAAATTTTCAAATTTTGTGGAGTACAGATTTTCAAAGTATGCCCTGATGATTCTCTGGATTTCCTCAGAGTCTGTTGTTATGTCCCCTTTTTCATCCCTGATTTTGTTAATTATCATGCTCTCCCTCTATCTTTTGGTTAGTTTGGACAGAGGTTTATCTATTTTGTTGATTTTCTCAAAGAACCAACTCTTTGTTTCATTGATTCTTCTCAGTGTTTTTCTGGTTTCTACTTGATTGATTTCAGCCCTCAATTTGATTATTTCCTGGCATCTGCTCCTCCTGGGGGAGTTTGCTTCTTTTTGTTCTAGAACATTCAGCTGTGCTATTAATCCTCTAGTATGACTGGTCTCCAGTTTTTTCATGTGGGCACTTAGTGCTATAAACTTTCCTCTCAGCACTGCTTTCAAAGTATCCCATAAGTTTGTGTATGTTGTGTCTTCATTCTCATTGAAGTCGAGAAGGCTTTAATTCCTTTTTTATTTATTCCTTTACCCAGGGATGGTGCAATTGTGCATTGCTCAATCTCCATGAGTTTGTAGGGTTTCTGCGATTTGTGTTATTGTTGAATTCTACTGTTAATGCATGGTGGTCTGATAAGATGCAGGGGATTATTCCAATTTTTTTGTATCTGTGGCGATTTGCTATGTTTCCTATTATGTGGTCAATTTTAGAGAAGGTATCATTTGGTGCCGAGAAGAAGGTATATCCCTTTGTATTTGGGTGGAATGCTCTATAGATGTCTGTTAAACCCAGTTGGGTCATAACTTCTATTAGTTCTTTTGTTTCTTTGTTAAGTTTCTGTCTGGAGGTCCTGTCTAGCGGTGAGAGCGGAGTGTTGAAGTCTCCTACTATTAGTGTGTGAGATTTTATGTTCATTTTGAGCTTTAGTAATGTTTCTTTCACAAATGTAGGTGCCTTTGTATTTGGGGCATAGATGTTTAAAATTGAGACTTCGTCTTGATGTATTTTTCCTTTGATGAATATGAAGTGTCCTTCTTCCTCTCTTTTGATTGATTTTAATTTGAAATCTAATTTGTTAGATATTAGGATTGCTACACCCGCTTGTTTCTTGGGACCGTTTGATTGGAAGATCTTTTCCCAACCCTTTACTCTGAGATAATGTCTGTCTTTGATGTTGAGATGTGTTTCTTGAATGCAGCAGAAGGAAGGGTTCTGTCTTCATATCCATTCTGCTAGTCTGTGTCTTGTTATAGGCAAGTTGAGACCGTTGACATTGAGGGATATTAATGACCATTGATTGGTGATCCTTGTTTGTGCTTGATTTATTGTTAGTGAAGTTATTTTGTGTAGTTTCTCATCCCTTTTTCTTTTGGTGTTTTGTAAAGTGTGATTATATATTGCCAGTGTCTTTGTGAATGTAGTTATCTTCCTTGGCTCTAGGTGTTCCTTCTAGCATTTTCTGAGAGCTGGATTCATGGATACGTATTGTTTAAATCTGGCTTTGTCATGGAATATTTTGTTTTCTCCATCTATGGTAATTGAGATCTTTGCTGGATATAGTAGTCTGGGCTGGCATCCTTGTTCCCTTACCATTTGTAGCACATCTGTCCAGGATCTTCTGGCTTTCATCGTTTCCATTGAGAAGTCAAGTGTAATTCGGATAGGTCTGCCTTTGTATGTTACTTGGCCTTTTTCTTTAGCTGCTCTTAATATTTTCTCTTTACTCTGTAGGTTTGATGTTTTGATTATTATATGGCAAGGTGAATTCTTTTTCTGGTCGAGCCTATTTGGTGTTCTGTAAGATTCTTGTACTTTCATAGGCATATCTTTCTTTAGGTTAGGGAAGTTTTCTATGATTTTGTTGAATATGTTTTCTGTACCTTTAAGATGAATTTCTTCACCTTCTTCTATACCTATTATTCTCAGGTTTGGCTTCTTCATGGTGTCCCATATTTCCTGGATATTTTGTGTTAAGGATTTGTTGGTTTTGAGATTTTCTTTGGTTGACGACTCTATATCCTCTAATGAGTCTTCAACACGTGAGATTCTCTCTTCTATCTCTTGTATTCTATTGGTGATACTTGCATCTGTAGTTCCTGATCATTTACCCAGCTTTTCTATTTCCAGCATCCCTTCATTCTGTGTTTTCTTTATCGTTTCTATTTCAGCTTTCAATCCTACAACTGTTTGAGTTTTTTCTTTAATTTTTTTGGTTGTTCTTTCTTGGTGCTCTCTAGATTCTTTGAGAGATTTGTTTATTTCTTGAAATTTTCCCCCATTTCATGGATTTTTTGTTTGTATTTCTTTAAGTGATTTCCTCGTTTCTTCTTTGAGTGTCTCCATCATCTTCATTAAATAATTTTTAAGGTCTGTCGCCTTTTCTTTGTCTATGTAGTGCTTTTCAGGTCTTGCTGGTGTTGGATCCCTCGATTCTGGTGGGGTCATGTTGGTGTTTCTATTGCTGAGTGATCTCTTATTCTGTCTTCTTCCCATCTCTTCTTTCAGTGGGTGCTGGTGGGGTCTTTCCATCTCCACTGGTCTCCTTCATTCCTGCAGCTGAAGCTGGGATGCTGACACGGAGTTTGGGTCCTGGTATGGCTGATGTCTTTTCTGAAGCTGGTCTCACTGGTGTTGGGGTCTTGGAATTGTTGACTTCTTTGCTGTGTGTGCAGGTCTCCTGAAGCTGTGCTTGCTGGGGTTGCGGTCTTGGAAGGGCTGATGTCTTTCCTGAAGCTGGACTCGCTGGGGTTGGGGTCTTGGAAGGGCTGATGTCTTTCCTGAAGCTGGACTTGCTGGGGTTGGGGTCTTGGAAGGGCTGATGTCTTTCCTGTGTGGGCGGGTCTTCTGGATGCCAGGAGCCGCCCGGAAGATCAAGGGGGATGGGTGATGGGCGGGCAGTCCCCGCTGGAGCCCCAATCTCACCTGAAGCTGGACTCACTGGGGTTGGGGTCATGGAGGGGCTGATGTCTTTCCTGAAGCTGGATGTGATATTTTTAATGATTATTTTTTCTTTTGAATGATTCATTCATCTCATTTTTTTGTATTCATAAGAGTGTGTGTGTGTGTTTGTGTGCAATAAGTTTTGAAAACAGGAAGTGGGTGTATAATGCTCTTGTTTTGCTCTTTTCTTTCTGCATAATTTTAATGACATTTAATTTTTCTTAGTTCTGTAAAAATGTTATAATAATTAATTATGACAAAACAGTAAAACACATGGAGATTAATTGGCCCACTCTGCATAATCTCTATATAACTTGTGAATACTGAATTCATAATAATATTAAATCTATTTATGTAAGAATTTGAGACTCTCTAACATATGTAGATCTTACTAACTGTATGAAATTGATATTTTGATTACATTTATATGTTTTACAGTTTCTCACTACTTATTCCTAAAAATTTCCGCCCTTATTTCAGGATTCTGATGTAGGTGTCACAAACCTGCTCATGGTAACCTCAGACTAAAGCACAGAAGAAATGCTTCTCCCCAAACGCTGGGAAGAATTCGTTGAAGACGTGCTCACTATACCTAACTTGTGTTAGTATAAAACTTGTTTTTTTTTGTAACTCTTGTTTCCTAGGATTAATTTTTTCATGCAACATTCAAGTTTTCATGTATTAACATGTTGGCTAAACATATTTGTGTTTGTCTTACTATTTCTGTAGAAATAATATGATATTCTTTTCAACAAGACATGCTTTATATTTCTTGCCATAGAATAACCTACTGCTCATTTACTCTAGCAATTGCCCTGAGGGCAATGTCTGGTAAATATTCTTTGATGTGGTATCCACTAGTACCTTTCCTTTTTGACTCTTGATAAAGTACAGAACCTTTAGGGATCCTTCATATATCTTTCTTTTATATTGATAAAATTCTAGTTCTATTTATGACTTGATATGTTCACTATTTTCTTCTTCTTTTAGGATTCATCTTTCTTAATATGTATGTTTTCATATGTTTTTATAAGTTTTGGTAATTTTGATTACAGGCTCATTATTCTTTTCTTCTGTTGAAGCAGTAATTTCTCAGACCCTTTGCCATATTATTTTTTATTCTAAAATCATGATCTTTTCGTGGACATGTGTATAATATCCACATAACTATCTCTCAAAATCTTACTGTGCATTCATCAATCTTATTTCAAACCTTAAACCCTCATTAACTGTTATTGTTACATACGTACACATACAAATACATATATATTAATATGTAAATATAACCATCTGAATGTATCTATTGTTCTTAAATCTACAATACTCTGTGGATATGATGACAAAAATTGTTGGTGTCTTACAAACACCTCCCCCCCACAAACACTATGGTGGCACCTTGGCTCCTGCTGTCTCCGCTGGGATGGAAGCCTCAGTGGTGGAGCCCAGGTCCAGGCAGGTGTTCCAGAAATGGGACCTGGTTTACCTGGTTCTGTGGATGGCACAGGAGACTATTGTGCATTGGTTTCCAATACTGGGATGGAAGACAGAGTGGTAGACTCCAAGCAAAGGCACCTGCCTAACCCCATGGTTAGAGCCGGAGATTAGGCTGCTGGGGTGCCTTGCCTCCTGCCTCTGTGATGGAAGCTGCCTTGGCAGCTCCCAAGCACCAGCAGGCAGCCGGAAATGTTCCTTGGATTACCTGGTCCCGTGTGTGGAGCAGTAGACTATGGTGTGTTGATTCCTGCCACTGTGATAGAAGATGCAGCAGTTGACCCTAAACACAGGCAGCCGGTCTAGTCCTAGTTCTGTGGGTGGAGCAGGAAACTATAGTGGTGGCTTGGCTCCTGCCGCCTCCACCGGGCTGATTCTCCCTCTTTTAACATTCAATAATTTCCTGTAGCTTTTCAGGTATCACTAAAGAGTTTGAGATTTCTGACATCCAACCTGGCATGAAAGCATGTACTGTCATTTTGTTAACCTTCTTTAGGCATCTCTGTTGTTGAGATTTTGTGGATGCATCTCCACAATACGAATAAATGATACTTTTTCACAGAAATTAAGTCTACTTTATTGACCAGAAATATTGTAAGCCATTCACGAGTGTCCTGTAGCCTCAAAGACTCTGACACCCTTTGAAAGGCTAAGATTCCCGAAAATGATGACTCCTAAGTCAGGACGATGAATTCATGAAATTTTCTTAGAACATTTGTAGCAGTATTATATGCATTTTTAACCTCAGCATAGCATAGTGTTAAGGAACATACTAAATAACAAGGTGAATGGTATAGGAGAATCTCTACTGCTGTATTACTGTAAGAAATTATAATATAGAAATTATTGGGAAATAGATTGAGTATTCTTTAGTCATTGACAGATGTTTGTACTATGTGTGGTATGGATCATACATCAGAGTTCTCTCTGTGCTTTTTTTCCCAATACATGTATAGGGCTCACAAGCGAATGGCAGTCCCAATTATCAATTACTAAGATTTAACTTCAGTATTAGAAAAGTAAAATAGATAATTAAGGACCTCATTGTAAAGCTTCAGGGATGTGGTAGAAAATTAGATGGTTGGAGTTTAAATGGGTCAGTTTACTTGTGGACATTCACAACAATATTCAATATGCACTTTTCCTTCCAAATTAAAATATACAGTGCTGGGAAATTTTAATCAGTTATCACATACCTACCTTGCAGATATGGGCAGCTGAATATTATATATAATATATGGAAAAATCAAAGGTTGTTAGTGTGGGCTCTTTCTGTCAAGACAGGATGGGAAGTGACAGATTTCTGAGTTTTGTTGGGTAGGTGGCCTAGACATGGTAGTAATTTCTAATCCATTGAGAAACACTGTTTCAGCTGAGCTATAGTTGCCAGATATATGCACCTTAATAGTATACTGGTTATAGATGTCATTAACTCCCAACACCAAGATAACATTCATGTGACTTGTGCCAGATCAAGAAAGCCAAAATCCCACTATGGCAGGAGATGGGACTCATGAAATTCTAATCATGTCTGAGTAGGTATTGGCAGTTGAAAGGCTGCTGGAAAGGGACAGTCAGATTACTATATTTTCCCAGAGTGGCTACTGTTCACATATAGATTTTCCCTCATCCATGCACATGTGGGCAACATTGAATTGCTTCATTTGGTATGAGAGAGAGAGAGAGACAGAGAGACAGATAGACAGAGAGACAGATAGACAGGGAGACAGAGAGAGTGAGCATGAAGTTGATATAGAATTGTGATACTGAGAATATGGGAGAAAATTTTATAAGCATAATATAGTTTAACATTGAATAAAATACTTTTTCCAGCATTCAATTCTGATCATTGTTTCTCCTGAAGCGTCCAGGATATGTCCATCTCCCCACCCAATTAACTCCATTTATTATTTTTTCATTTCTCTTTTTAGAAATTTAACAGCCAAGCAAGAACACAAGTAATATATTATAGTATAGAAAACAGAAAAAAATTTCAAAGAAAAAACCAACAAAATGGTATATATATATATATAAAATGATATATATATATATATATATATAGAGAGAGAGAGAGAGAGAAATGAAATTGCAGAAAACCCTTAAAAGTCATTTTGGAGCCCATAATATGTAAGCAACATCACAATAACATTAAAAAATAATTTAAAAAAACTACCGTGACTAAAATGACTAACACAAACAGACAGTGTTCCAGCAACTAATTTTGTGAAAACCAATTCCCAAAATACAATAACAGTCATTTTGATTTGGGAAACTGTTTCTGGGCATGGCACTGTCATTAGTGTAGTTTGTTTACCCAGTGAAACTGAAGTGGAAAATAACATTTTTTTCTTTGCTTGTAGTTTTCAGTTGAAGACAACTTATTGCTTAGAGATAGGAGATCTTATTCCCTTCCACTCCTCTTCTCATTGTTAGGATGCTATCAGGCTTTGTCGTTGAGAGTCCTGTGCTCCCTGCAAGGGTCTCTGCGCACTCATATGTGGGTCAGTATTGCTGTGTCTGCAAGAAACTCTATGCTCTGAGTCTTCCATCCCATTGGATTACGATTGGTTTTCTAAAATATCCCTTAAATTATTTCTTTACAATTATGACACTGTAAAACACTCAATGCTACTTTAGAATTTTGCATAAACAGTGATGCAAACCATATGTCTTTATCTAATCCAAGTATGCTTTTATGATCATTGTTATAGAAATAAAGGTCTCACATAGTGATATAACTCTTGATTATAATCACAGTGTTTGGGTAAACTGACACAGGGAAATTGAAGAGTCAGCAGGATGCTATAATTGTCAGCCCAGAGTCATAATCAGAAGGCCCAGACAGAAATGAAAGCTTTCCAATGAATAGCTAGGAAGGCCAGTGAAGACAGAGAAATGCTCAGCCTCTAAGCACCTTTAACTTATTTTGTCCATCATCAATGCAAGCCAGATACCAAAGTAAATTGCATTTTTCCTGTCTTTCTCTTTTCACTTTCCTTGTTTCTTTTCACAGCACCTAATAAAGCAGGCTATCTGGATTGCCTAGAAAGGTCTGATTACACTACTTTGATTTCTAAAAAGTTACTCAATTATTTCTGTGAGTTTAATATCCAAGTATCTATAAGTTTTCCTTAATCAGGGAACGTGGATGATTATGCTATAGAGAATGGAATTAGCTTTTGCAAAGAGGTAGAATTGGAAACAGAGAAAGGCCATGGTCAGGTAAATTATCATTGGTTTGTAGGCTTAGGTACAAGTGTCTGCTGTTCATCTTTTTTGTACATGTCAGTTTGGGCAATACCACGTGCTGAGTTAAGTTACTATTGGCCCCCATGTAGTTTTGACATTTTGCATGAGGGTGTCAAACATAAGATCCTCCACTGGTGAAGAGAATTAATCACCCTTTGTTGAGAGACTCTAGGAGTTATTCATCTTATATACATAAATGGGAGGACTGCCTGCTCTGGCCTACATAGTTGCCACCAATAGTTTTCACATAAGGTCAGGTTCTGAAGATAAGGGGAGCAGAAGTCTAGCAAGTCTTATTCCCTGTTCATCTTTATCATAAAATGAGGCTAACAAACCCTTGACTGTGGAGAGGTTGTGTACCATTAAGGAGAAAGGTTAATACTTGAGTTTTGAGAAGTTTTGCTAGCAAATATATCTGCATAAATTTAAAATATTTTTGAAAATTATTTTCCATTAAACTTTAATTTACTTTAAACTAATTTTGAGTTTCTTGCCGTATAATTGGAGTTATAAATTATTTTTCTTCTGAAGACTGTTTATTAAAGTGAGTTACATTTGTGTTTATCTAGGTTACAAACACAGTTCTAAGCACATTAAATAATTTAATCATTTATAAGACAACTGACCATATTTGTTACACTTGTTCTAGATTGTTTCAGCAAAGTAATGCATCATTTAATATTCAGATTTAGTAGTTTATTCCTGCTCCAGTTTTTCAGCCTCAAAATTTATATCTTTTGATTGAAGCTCTTTTTTGTAATAAAATAATCCTTAAACCAAAAATAGAATCTATGCAGACACTGGGAACCTCCTTTTCCTTATCCTTTTACAGCATATATCCCCAAATAACAGTTCTTTATATGGTTCAGTAAGTATAATTGCTAAAGCTTAATAAAGTTATCAAATACTTGTGAAAGATAGACATATTTGAAGTCAGTTTTGTGATGTGATATAAATATTATTGTTTTTGTTGATATATATAAACATTTTTACATTAGAAATGTGCAACAGTCCTTAAGTAAAATAATACATTTATTTTCTATCTTCCATCAGCATGGGATTTTTCCAGTTCTGTAGTTGTCCCAAATTATAACTATTGCTGGTTTGAAACTTTGAATGATGCATGTGTCTGAATTCCATCTGTAAACCCCAAAGCTCATTG